AAAGTTGGTATAATAGGATTCACGGAGTGGAAAATTAGTAATTCATCGATTTTATAGAAAGAATAACTAAAAAGGATTGAAGTAGCAAATTTATATCCTTTTTTAGGGTTCCGCCAAAATTAGAATAAATACAGATCATGGAGCAAATTATTCTTACATGTAATGACAGATATGTGTTTCGAGGATTAAGCAAATATTGAGGCGACTTGAATGACTCAATGCAATGTGAATCACATGCAGGAGATTAGATGATAGTTAATAGTTTCACCCATTTGAAAGTTCAAATTTTATTGTGATTGAAGAAAATATTGTGGCAAAATTTCATCACTTAATCAAGATATTATGAAAACATGTTTAGTTATTACTCCCTGTGATCTTTATTATACGCTTCAAATAACTAGTTAAAAGCAATAAATAGGTTAGAAATATAATTTTGTTTTCAAATGTGCCTTTATAATAAATGAGAAAAATAATAAAAAAGAATGTGTGAGGAAATATACTAAGAAAAAGTATGATAAAGGAAAGAGAATAAATAATTAAGGACAAAATAAAAAAATGTATTAAATATTAAGACAAATTTGAAATTAAAGCTTATAAAATAAACCACACCCATCTTCAAATTTGAAGCTTATAAATTGAACGGGAGAAGTATATTTCTAATTATTCCATTAAATATTGTATGTCACTTATAACATTCAAAGCAAATTAAACAAAGTAATTATATGTAATCAAATCACATCAGATTAGTCACATTAATAAAGACGTCCATTAATAATTGATGAATATTGGTTGAGACGTTGGAGAATGTAATTGTATGTGATATGCTGAGAAATAATGTGCCCTATTTGAGTTTCTAACATTTCATTGTCGTGTAAGACCAGACACCCAAATCAATCAATTAGAGGACAATAATTCAAAATGTTCACATTAATTAATTGACTCTTAATTATCACAATTTGATTTGACAATTGAGTCGTGTTAATTAAGAGAGTGTGCCTAATCCACATTGGCAGTGACATTAATTGACTAATCATTCCACAAAATGAAAGTTTAATTGATTAAGAAGTGTCGTGACAGTGAACAATTAGTAGGTTTTTTTTTTTTTAATTTAACAGTTCTGTTATTAAAAAAATAATTATTCTCTGTAAGTTTTGTTAGAATATTATTGGTTGCGTTAAAAAAATGACTTATCATTGTCTCAACAAGTGATGAGGGGTTCAGTTCCCTGCAAGCAAAGCTAAGAGATAAATTGGTACCAGTTTAGATTAGCAATGAATAACTGTGATTTTAGATCGTTATAAATTTTATAAGTAATATTGGTTATAAATAATGTTGGTTAATCATGATTTTTGTTTGGATTTTTTTTAGAAGTAACTTTAAAAATTATGATTATGTTTGGTTTTTATTTATTAAAATCACTTATGGATGTATAATTACCCAAAAAAAAAGTATGAATTTAATAAATATTATTAAATATAAGGGAAAACCATATTGGAGGTACCTGTATTTTTTGTAAATTTTCAATTTGGTACCTATGTGTTTTTTGTTCTTAACTAAATCTTTAATTTTGCTCAATTAACATCATTAATCCTTATATAGAGACTAAAAATGCCAATAGAACAAAGTTATAAGAGCTAATGTACTAAAAAAAATAAAATTAAATGTTTAATCAAGAGGAAAAAACACATAGGTACCAAATTAAAAATTGAGAGAAAGTAGAGGTACCTATGATATGGTTTTCCCTTAAATATAATCACTTGGGGAGAGATTTTTAGAAGAGTGTGGGAGAGTAAATTGAAGAAAATTCAGTTGATAAAAATTGATTAGAATCCTTCAAATGCATAAATTACTCCTTTGTATTTATCTTAAAAGTGTGGTGGAAGAGTGAAATCATGATTCATTAGAATTTCATAAAAATTACCCAAACAAGATAACTATGCTTCATAACCACTTATTTTGATTTCAATGGGTTTATTTAATCTCCCACCGCTTAACTAAAGAGGATTTACAATAATTCTAATTTGATAATACCAAATTTTAAATAATTATATAAAAACAAAAGGATGAAAGATATTAATATTATCACTCATCACGTCCTTATTATATAAGGCAGTCTTTATCTGTTTGCCAACGAACTTATTAATTTTTCATTATACTTACATATTTTCTCAATTTGAAAAATAAATAGTAATATTTACATTTTGTAAATACTGTGACTTACTACATATCTTATTATACAAAGACACACTTATACACACTATACGATTAATTTTTTTTCAAGAAAAAAAAGCCATATTATTCATGGGCAGTTAAAGAATAATATTTGTTATACATTTGATTATTCAGGCACAGAGCTACTCTCAAACTAGCACCGCCATTCTAATAACAAAATGAAGCAGGTTCTCCCACGCCATCAATTATATTAAAAATTAAAGCAAAGCCTAATGTATCAATCAAATATAATTATCTTGAACGATATCATAAATTAACAATTAATACTAAAATAATATTTTTGGAATGAATGCTAAATAATTTAGAGCGTGCTCACCATGCCTTATTGTCCATGGAGTTGGTGTAATCGGCTTAGTTTTGTAGTTAAAAAAAAAATAATCAGCTATTTTTTTATATGATAATAAAATAAATCGCATGGTTTACTACAGCTTTTCATAAATTTTAATATATAGTATTTTATAGACATGTCTCTCCTGCAACATGGCCTCAATCATTAAATATTTTTATTACTATTATCATTAATAATTGTGCTTTGTGAATGTAGTAATTAAATGAGGGGCCTCCAAGGTTAAATAAAAGAGAGGGGACATTAAACTAATTGAAAGTGGGCCCCGCACATAGAAGACCCCATGTGATTTGATTAACAGGTGAATTAAAATAATAATAATAATAATTACTATTGATAATGATAATTAGCCGGACAACCTTTTGTTCAGCGTGTGATCACTTGAAAATGCAAGTTGGCATGCCATTAATATAATGGATGATGCACATTGTCTTGAAAATATTCAACCATAATAATAATTTAATATGGAAAATCAATCAACATGGGAATTTTTTTTGGGGGGGGGGGGATTGAAAGGGGGTTTTCTTTATTATGAAATTTAGAAAACAAATAAAATTGTATTTAAACACACTGACAAAATTAGCAAGTACTCGAAACTATCAATGAAATTGCTCTCAATCACAACCGTCAACAGATTCAAGAAGGTTCTTTGAATATTGTCCTTTTGAATTCATTGCTTTTTAACAATTAATTCATTAATTATTCATAAACATGTGTTCTTTCATGATTGATTGATTTAATTGGGTGGGAGCTTCTAAAATGTGTCATTTAGGATTTAAAATTAAGGGGATACGCATTTAACTGAGATTTCAGCTAAGAAAATGGAAAGTAAATTAGTGTGAATAAGATGGGAAGCAACTTAATTGCTAGTTATTGATTAGGAGTTGTTTCGACTGTCCCGTTCCAATCCCAATCATGTCAAGACAGGGCAGACCAGACCTGAAAGTTGCGGGACAAGGAAGAAGCAAGTGAGGACAACATAAAGGATAGGATGAAATGAGACAGGGACTCGATGTGTATATTTTGTTTTATTATTCAATTTTAAGCATATTAAGTGATTACATGATCATATATTTTGCTTATTAAGATGCACACGCTGGTTTAGTTGCAAGCTTCTAAACAGACCGCATAACAATTTTGTTTGCCGTCCAGGTATATGGCATTTTGAGCTTAAGAAATACTAGTATAATTATGATTTCCACAAAGGAAAAGACGTCAATTTGGTTGCTGCTCTAGTTTAACTTTGTCTTGTATTGAAAGGCGCATCAAGATTTTGTTTAACTAGAACCTTTTCATCTGAAATTTTGCTTAATAAGTGCCTTGTGAAGTGGAGGCAGAAAATTGTTAATTCAGAATTGAAACATGTTTATAAAATTTTAAAATTTTTCTTTAGGTCATGTAACCTGATTAAGAGTTTAACAAACCTAATGATCCAGATAAAGATTTAGATTATTTAAATATCTTTTTAAAGAATTTTTCCTATTTTTTGGCCATTATAATGATAATTTTATTACATAAATCAAATAAAATAAGCAAAACTCCCTTTCTCTGCCTTAACATATACTCCTCTAGTCCTATTTATAAGGCAGAGAGAAGATATTTTTTGTTTTTATTTTTAAGATACTGAGAGAAATTTTTTATATTGATGTATAATTTTACTCCTTATTTATTATTGTGTTGACTTTGTTTATATAAAGTATAATATATATTAAATAAAAATAAAGTTGAACATTTGTTAAACTGTACATGACAGTTAATGAAACTTAAAATTTTTCTTAACATGTGAAATATATTAGAAATAATTTATAAATAGAACCTAAATAGTATTTACTGTACCCTCCCTATTCCTTTCAGAAACTTCACTTTCAAGGCTTTCCGTGTCTCTCATGAAACACACGTTATGTCAGCAGCAGCCATTTTTCCCACAGCGCAGACTCATACAAATCCACCCGTTCCCCTAATGATTGTTGTGTTCCAACTTCACAAAGCAGTCAACGCAATAATAAGTAATTAATTAAAAACATTAACTAGTAATTGATTATCATTATTAATATTAAAGACACCTAAATTCATTCCCACGGTTCATTGCAACGGCCAACTCATACTAAAGTCGCCACCATTTTTGGGAATGTTTCCGGAAACGCTTACATGATTAGAATTTACTAAACATTTGCTTACTCAGTCCATTGCACAGAGACATTAATCAAAGGCACGTCCAGATTCAGTGATTCACAAAGTTCTCTTTTCTTGTCAGAATTATTACCACTACTTTATGTTTACTTCAATTTCCTAATTTATATTTTCCTCCAGTTTCCACCAGAACCATGAATTTGATAATGGAAATGTCATGAAAATCAGAGGGCTTGCGTCATGAAGCGACAAAATGACCTGTTGAGAAAACTAATAATAATGATGACAATAATTAAAAAGAAAAAGGATAAAATCAGTGCCTCCATTGATTTAGAGTTCAGCTTTAAGAACATACAGGTTCTTTGCTTCCAAAGCAATTTGCTTTAAGGTCAAGACTACATAAAAAAGTCACCATCCAGAAGATGGAGGTGGGAAAAGGCATAAACGATGCCCAGATTCAAAGGGGGGAACACTAGAAAATTACATAATAATAGGAACTGTACAATGCCATCCCATCCATTTAACAAAACATTTGGAGATGTTGAGTTGATTGCGTGACTAAGAACCCTAAATTACATAAACAATTAGTACAGAGAACAACCACAGACAATAAGATTCAGAATGATGAACTAAATGAGTAAGTTATGAAGCACCTTTGACAGCAGATTACTGATCTAGCTTTAATTGCTGCTCAGCATCTCCAAGTTGAGATGGAGACCAGTTCCTTCCTCTGCCAGCATAGAGTAAGAGAAGAGTGCTTCCTGTCCACTTGAAATCCCCTCACAGGTGCCCTCTGCACCAAGCATTCTGCTTGAGCTTCTGTGGAGTTACTGAATGAGAATGGAGAGAACCCAGATGAAAGAAGCATGTTCTTCCATGGAGGTAGCTTTTCTCTACCGTGGCGACGACCCAATATGATCTTCTGAATGGCCGGTTGGACAAAGTGCCTCTCAATTTTTTGCAGAACATCAAGGTTCACATTGACAGCATCCAGGGATTCAAGCAAGGCTGAGTAAGACTGAAGAGCATGTATTAAGTTGTGAGGAAATGGGACATCAATTCGATCGCAATTCCTGTCCAAGGTGACCACAATTTTAGGCATGAGCTGCTTTACAAAGCAAAGGGCCAGAGGAAGGGATGAAGGGTAATTTGAGAAACAAGAAACCGGCAAATTCACAGCAATTGCTTCCGTATCAGAAAATCGACCAGGAAGGGACCAGGAAGCAGAGTTTAATGATTCAATGTTCATAACATTGAGCTCAAAGGATATGTTGATTTCTTTGGCATACTGTTTCAAGCTTTCTCGTGTAAAACTGAGCTCAATTTCATCACAGGTGGATGGAGATACAATAGCAGTAACTTTCAGTGAAGGTGCACCACCATTTCTCAAGGCCAGCTCTTGCATAAAAGAAGCCCATTGCACTCCAAATCCAATATCAAAATCAATAATGTGAATCCTATCAAACCTCTCCACAGCCTCAATGAGGGCTTGATTACAAGTAAAATTGGCAAATTGAAGAACTGGAGATATCTCAGAGAATGACTTGTAAGCCCCAATTTTGAATATGAAACCAATGGGTGAGAAAGCCAATAAACTTTGCCCATTTGAATGCAGCAATAACTCCAAGGCTTCCTTCATATAGAAAGCAGCCCTCTGAAATGGCTTACCAATAGGGGAGAGCTGGTGATTGAGCCGCGCCAATATCCCTTGCGCATTTACCGGGTTACCGGCTTCGATATGCTCTGCAGCCTTGAAAATCAGATCAATTATAGTCTGCTGGAGCTGTTGAGTTGTGAAGTCATCCCCTGCAGAGCTCACCTTCTGTTGTTTCACTGGTGGCTCAAGTAAGGATTGCCATTGATGAACATGTTGAGGGTTTGCAGGAAGCTGCAATTGTTGCCTCCTAGCAAAGAGCTCTTGACCAGAATCCAATAGAGGGCCCTTTGGAACCTGATAGCCTTGCCCAATTGTGTCACAAAGAAGGCGTTTCGCTTGAGGCTGAGAAAAAACTTGCTGATCCTGCAACTGTGGGTATGTCAATGGCATAAAGAAAGATGGATTCTCTGAGAATTGAACTTGATTTCGGTTTAGCTTGTCTTCAACTGTGGAAATTACTTGCGGCTGAGAATTGAACCCCATTGGAGAAGATGACATCATTAGAGGATTGGTTCCTGAGGCAGAGAAAATGGGTTCGGTAGTGTTATGACTCATCATGCTCCCACAAGTAACAGGTTCAAGTTCAAACCCTTGATCTACAACCCCAAAACCTCCATTGAAATCCACCATTTGAGACCCAACTCCACTGCTCTGCAAGATATTGTTCAGTCCTGAAGATGGATCTTCAATATCGCCCATAATTAGTCTGAGAATAGACTGGTCTTGACCTGGGGATTCAGACAACACGCCCTCCCAATCCTCCACTGGCAGAGCACATTTCTCTGCGCTGGACGTGTCTAAGACCGCCTGAGATGGGTTTTCCGAGGCTGTTGCCGCTGCTCCGGTGGTGGTGCTATTGGTTGAGCAGCTGCCGTCACCGCCACCCTTGCTGGCGGCGCTATTGCTTCCACGAGAGGCCATTGTTGAGGAGGAAGTCGGAGGGCTTGGGCTTCTTCTGGCGTCAAGAACAGAAGTGGGCTCAGTGCCCACATAGCAAATTTTCTCGCCTCCGGTCCACTTTTCCGGTGGTGGTTGATGATGATGATGCAAAACGGGAGGAAACGAATCTGAAGAAGCAAAAGGAGAAAACTCGAACACCCCCTTCCCTTGAAACTCCTCAAAAGGCAAGGGCATGGCCTTCATCTAACAAAACTAAACCAGAGAGATTCGCACACAACAAACCAAACCCCACAAGAGACTCCAGCTTTTCAAGGCAGCATCTTTCTCCACACCCACAAAGTAATTTTAAAAATGAGTTTGGTCTGGCTTACAAATCTAGGATCTGGGCTCAGAAATTAAGCGGATTTGGGCATAGAAAAGGAGAGCAAGCTCCGGATTCGAATGGATATTGAGATACTGAAGAAGAACACTGACACATGAAGCATATGAGCAGAGAACCGCAGAGCAAAATCTCAGAATAGCTTGTGGGTATGTTACTTGTGAATCGGGAAATATATGGAGGATGAGAAGAAATCCATTAATGGTGAGACTGAGCGAAGAAGATTGATAGAAGAAAGAACTTGTGATGGGGTTTTCTTTTTTTCTTTCTTTCTTGGGACCTCAAGCGCACTCTCTCTCCTCCCCTCTGTTGCTTCTGTTCTGTGGGGAAGGATGCGTGCAGCGTATAAAAGTGGTAAAGTGGTCTCTTCTCTCTTACGAGCTTAGTTTCTCACTCTACCTCTGCTCCTTCAACTTTTTTTTTTTCCAAAAAAAAATATTTAAAATTTTATAATCAATTTTAATTTTAATTTGATTTGATTTGATTTTGAGCGGGGGGCTGTAACTGAAGTCTGAAGACGACGTAGTTGTCCCTCTGGTTGGTAGGGTTTCTGTGATGACTTCATTGTGTCCTCGCGGCAGCAGGCTCGCATACTTGCAGCCCGCCGGCGCGTAGGCATGTGATCTCTCTCTCTCTCTCTCTCTTATCATTGTCAATTTATCGTCAATATTTAATTAGATTAAAAAATAATTAAAATTAGTTATTACTTTTTATGCAAGTCATTAATCCCGTCCCAGAAGTAAATATACATCTCTTAACTCAGGAGATGAAGTTTATAACGGAAAAGCATGTTAAGAAAAATTAATAATTAATAAATATTTTATGATTTTGTTAAAGCCTAATGATCTCTAATAATTTGTGAATAATATTATTTTATATTCATATATTTTAGAATATGTACTATATACATTCGAATTCCAATTGTGGTTTAGTGATGATTTAACAATTGAATAATCTTTAAAAAAAAATACTTTTTTATTGTTTGCTTCGTAATTGAGAAGGTGTGATTGATCATATTAAATAACAAGTACTTTTGAATTAATAAGTGCAGATGAAAAATTTATGAGACTTTGTCGATACTATGCCATCCATAATAAAATCATTCCACATGAAATACGAGTAATATGATAGATTTATTATATCTTATATTACTTTCAATATATATGCAATGAATAGTATTTCATGGCAAAGAAAAAGGTTGTTTAGTCTAGCCATTGACCAAGACACTCAACTTAATCAAAGCGATGTACTAACTCCGGTTCTAATTATAAAATCTCGTTTATAGTCTATAAATAAAGTCTTATAATTAGTATAGGAAATAGTATTACAAATATGTCTCAACTTATCTCAGTCTTGAATTTAGACAATGGTTAAAGACAAGCGTTTGAATCATAGAATGAATGATGGAAAAGAAATAACAAACAGAAACAAATTCAAAAATATAAATTAATTTAAAATTTCCTACATATAATTTTATAGTTTTGCAGGGGTTTCATTTTAAAAATTCATAATTATTGATGCATGGATACCCCTTTGAAATTATCACAAATAAATTGTTCAGAAATTAATTTTTTTAACCATAGCATAAAATTTATTTAAGAATATACATGTGTGAAAATTAAAAAAATAAATGAAACACACCATAATCTTACTGGGATATTTTGCGCATTTTCGTAGTGGGCACCACTGTCATTTCAATCCAATTGGTTCGAACTAATCCTACAGATAGCATGAAAATGGGTACTCCGTCCTTCGTAGTTTTTATTAGGGGTGTTTAATTTATTCTATCCCGGTTGTCTTATCCCGGTCCTAATGAGTACAGGACGGGACAAAAATAGAACGGGACGGGATACTAACTGGGACGGGACCGGACGGGACGTAGGATGGGGTCGTCCCCTCCCGGTTTTTTTTTAAAAAAATTATTTATTATAATTATTATTAGATTATTCAATTTATTTATTAATAATAACTCTTATTTTTATGGTGATTTTTAGTTTTTAAATTGTAGTATTATCTCAACAAAATCTCCTTTCTCAATAAAATAATTTATAAAGTCATTATATAGTGTTTCTTTTACGGCATTTTTTTTACAATATTGTTTTTACACCTTTTTTATACTATATAATTGAGCTTTCTATATAATATTTTTTTACGATGTTTTTATCTTTAAAAGCCCAATAAAAAATAAGAATTATAATATAAAAAAATCATATAAAAATTATAATATTTTTTTTTAAAAAAAAGGGAAGCGAGACGTCCCGGTCCCAACGAAACCGGAACGGAACGGCACACAGGACAAAATCCCTGTCCCGTCCTTGCTCACCAGGACTTGCCGTCCTATCCTGTAAACACTCTTAGTCTTTATCGTCTTCCCAAACAAGGTTCAAGCAAATTACTCAATTTTTGCAAAATTGGATAATTTTTTAGAATTTTTCTAGAACAGGAAAAAAAACCCTGAAATTGTAATTTCTCAATTCAGACACACAAGAGTAGAAATGATAGATAAAGAAGTGACAATTGATCTAGTATTTTGTAAATGTAATTAAATAACTAAAATATTCTTATATTAGATTTTTTAAAAAAAAATCTATCAAACTTGTCATTGTCAATACATTTTTTGTCATTAGCTATTTAACATTTGCCATTACCGATTCACAACTTGTAAATAAATAATTTGTTATTGTTAGTATATTTCTTATCATTAGCTATTTAATATTTGTCATTATCATTCTAAAACTTGTTAATAAAGTTTTTTATATACAAAAATTTTAGTGATTTAATGATATTAAAACCACTTTCACTTTCAAATTTTGAAGTTTTATATGCCTGATTTGAAATATCATATTTTTCAATTTTTTTATTTATCATTTTCCTTTTTTTTCCAGATTATTGTGAACGAGGCAGCGAGCCGGCAAATTACATGTATGTCGGCAACGCGCTGTTAAGGAGCGTGATTTCTGGATGGTATTTCCCTTTCTGAAATGTTTTGCAGAGCGACCAATGAGACAGGGTATTTGGGTCTCTCTCTTCTCTCATTTACCATTCTGCCCCTGCCCTTATTTTATTATTATTTTTCTCATGGCTCCCTTATTTATTTATTTTTATATCATTTTATGTGTGTTGCCCATATTCCTTAATCTAACAATTTAGATAACTAACTTTAAAATATTTAAAAATTAATATAATTGATTATTTATAATAAATATGTATTAATTTTTTTAAACTACTATATTTGATTATTTGTATTGGAAGTATCTCTTAATAGTAATTTTTACAATTAATAAGAGCATTTTAAAAAAATTATAAATTTAAAATACAAAGTAAATCAAGTTATATTTAGAAGCGAATATAACTTTCAACTAACTTTTATATTAACTGAAAAAAAAAATACAAAAAACACAAGTCCTTTTATTTTTATTTGTATGGATGGATTTTGTGAGCTTTTCATGTTTTTTTGGAGTTACTCATGTGAAATGCTTATAAACATGTTTATGTAGGATAAGATAAGACTTCCCTCACGTATTTATCTCACACTTCGTAAATCATAATAGAAAAATAGTTTTTAAAAGTTAAACTTTGTTAATTTAAATTTTGCACAAAATATTTTTTAAATAATTCTTAAAAGTCCAAAAACTAACAAATCTGATTATTTTAACATTTATTTTAAAAACAATAACGACAAATTTTATCATGTTAGATGGATCATTTATATCGATCACAAGTTATCATTTTAAGCTTTATTTTAACGAAAATATGAAAGCGCGTAAACTATAAGTTCTTGGGTAGAAGACCTGCTATTAAATGATATTTTCTCGTTCTTTAATATAGAATCTACTTTGTAGAATAATTTACATTACAAAATATATCTTATATTAAGAACAAAAGAGTAATATGAATTTCATATATTTATTTTCAATCCTTAATATAACAATTAAATAACTAATTTATAGATATTATACAAATTACTTAAATTAGTTATACTTAACAAATATATATTAAGTTTTCTAAACTTATAAATTATAAATTTAAATTATAGCCACATATACTAGTAAATTTCAAGAAGCACAGGAAGCTGTGGATAATGTACTTTGCAATATATGTGACTCTACTATTGCACCTTATATTTTTGTTCAATTTTGTGCAAACTTAATTTGATAATTATCTCAAATTTGGTAAATAAAATTAAGCACACATAATATAAAATCATGACATTTGTTACATATATGGGAGAATACCCCTTTTCTCTTATTGTGGTAGTTATAATTCGCTTAATTTGACTTTAAATTCTATAAGTAATTATATCCATACATAAATAATACTACCTTCGGTCTTTAATATAGTATTTTGTTTGACTTTTATTTTAGTCCTAAATATAAACCCCAATCCACTTTGTCTCTAATATTTATATATTTTTTTCAAGATATTTCTTCTAATAATGGTAGTTCTAGCCAATACATTTGATTAGTAAGATAATTTAGGAAAGATAACACCTATTTATGACAAATAACTAACTTAACTTCTTTCCTTAATTTTATCAAATTAGTCAACTAGCTCTTATAATTAGAACAAAAGGTAGTATTATAATAAAATTTATAACAATTTTTTACTGGTGACATGCATACACATTATAAATAATATGACTATTTTTTTTTTCAACTATGTATTTCTATAATTGCCAACAAATTTGGTTCATGTTTATCATTCATCTTTTTTCCCCCCATATACACCCGGAATCCTGACTAATTCCTTAAGAAATTACAAACCAAACTAATTCAGATTAGGTAATGATAGGACCCATATAGGTAGTGATCCTATCACCTATACTGCTGCGTTCCCAAAAAATTCCATAACTTTTAGTTAAATTAGAACAACTCCTATCAATTGATCTAAATGTTCATTGGTCATTCATCATTTTTTGTTAGCCTTATTTTGAATTAATTGGACGAAGAGACGAGGCAAAATAATGTATATTCCTAATTATAACTAGTCATATTTTGGCAAAAAAAAAAAAAGAAGAACTAGTCATATTTTTATTAGGTCATTATAATTTACTCGGGTAAGTTCAAGAATTTCAAAGAAGATTATACAAATATATAAAACCCATATACTTGTTGTCAATTATATCTTCAAAACTAAATTCAGTAACTATCAGGTTATTATAGATAAGTAAATTAAAATTCGTTGGAAAAAAAGTAAATTAAAATTATGCTTTGTATTCAAGTAGTCTTTAGACTTGCGTTCTGTGGCGTCTGAGATGGATGTGCTATATATGGCTTATCTATGTGATTCAACTCAATCCATTATTTGTTATGTTTATTA